TTCAAGTGAACTACTCTTTAAAGCATCAACATTTGATTGAATCCTTCATTCCTCAATATTCCTAAAAATTCCCTTCATGTCCTTTAAGAGATTTGATTTGTTACATTGCATCAAAAAAAGAAATAGCAACTGCCCCATGACAAGATCTACTGAGTACAACCCAGGCTCATTCAGATCATGTACGCCTATATACATTTTTGCAGAGCACTAAATACGTCCCAGGAGCTAGATTTTCTTGCAGTTTTTGTTTTCGCAAATCCGCCAAAGTCTGTGTGTATGCTTTTTAAGATCTCAGATTTCTCTTGCGTGTGCATTTATACCTGCTGTTCTAGCGTAAAACCACAAGAGGTCACTGTGTATGCTTTTTGAGATCTCAAATTTCTCTAAAAGTGCCATTCGCACCTGCTGTTATTGCGTAAATCCACCAGAGGCCGGTGTGTATTGTTTTTGAGAGCTCAAATTTCTCTCGCGAGTGGTATTTGTACCTGCTGTTCTAGCGTAAAACCACAAGAGGGCGCTTTGTATGCTTTTTCAGATCTCAAATTTCCCTGGCGAGTGCCATATGTGCTTACTGTTCTCGCATAAATCCACTAGAGGCCGCTGTGTATGGTTTTTGAGATCTCAAATTTCTCTCGCCAGTGCCATTCATGCCTGCATTTCTCACATAAATCCACTAGAGGCCGCTGTATACGCTTTTAAAGATCTTAAATTTCTCTCACAATTGCCATTCATGCCTGCATTTCTCACATATATCCACTAGATGCCGCTGTATACGCTTTTTGAGATGTCAAATTTCTCTCACAAGTGCCATTCATGCCTGCATTTCTCACATATATCCACTAGAGGCCGCAGTATACGCTTTTTGAGATCTCAAATTTTTCTCGCGAGTTCTCACGTAAATCCACCAGAGGCTTCCGTGTATTTTTTTGCGATCTCTAATGTCTCTCACAAGAGTCATTCGCACCTGCTGTTCTCACGTAAATCCACCAGAGGCCGCCGTGTACGCTTTTTGAGATCTCAAATTTCTCTCGCAAGTGCCATTTGTACCTGCTGTTCTTGCAGAAATCATCTAGAGGCCGCTGTGTACGTTTTTTTAGATCTCAAATTTCCTCTGGCTACATAATTTGCGATCTCCAGAAATGTATACAGGGCTACATTTTTTAGAATGAGCCTATGTTGATTGAGTAACATGTTTGAGAACCGAGCAGACATTTGACGGTGTAAAAGTCAATCCTTTTGAAAAATGAAATAAAATAAACATAAATTAAAAATCCACGATGAGTGTTCATGGAAAGCATGACACGGAACCGGTCATCATATTCTTCTCTGAATATTCAGTTATATGCCTTATTTATATACATCTGGAAATCTCACCACTCCGATAACTTCCAACAGAGGAAGTAAGTGTGCTGGAAATCGGGACTCTAAATGGTCATTTCAGTTCATTTGAATCGCTTTCTCGAGAGTAGATGCTATATTACAGTATGCGTGTACCGCCTCTCGATACAGCAAATTATCGAGAAGAAAAAAATACAGGTAAAAATCATCGGTATTTAGCAAAATACAGTAAATTTTCTCTTCATCTAATATATACCCTACTTTGCAAGAGAGTGTTAAAATTACACAGGATTCGAATAACACATATACAATGAGCTTTCACCAAAGAAACATCGAGTCACGTGAAGTTATTCTGATCGGTACATACTGTAATTCACCATAAAAACACAAAAAAATGCTTTTTTTCTTCTGTTTTTGCGCTTGTTTTTTTTTTTCGTCAGTGTCCTTTAGGTTGACCTCACGGAGGCCTGTGATTGGTCGAGCTGCCACAGAACGGGCAGCGGGTGAAGACTCGTAGCACCTACATGTCATCAGGAGAACGTTTAAGTAGCTTCCCACATGTAGACGACACATGGAAAAAAAAAACATCACAGATGATCGATGTATTTCATACTACCCATGAGAACTGCTCGTGTGAAAAATATCGGCCACATTCTGAGACGAGAGGCTTCGGTTTTGTACATCTGTATTGCAGTTTTGATGTCTGACAAGCTTGTATTGCAATTTCTGTACTGGTTCATTCAGCTTGTTGGATGAGAACTTGTGTAGCCAATTGTGAACGTTGCGTTAACGATGATTTGAAATCTTAATATCAACAGTCCTGGATAATGAGGATAGTGAGAATGATACTTGAATGATGGCGTTAAAATATCAAAGATAAAATCTGATGGACAATGGTCAAATCAAAATAAATACATAAATTAAATATTGATAAGCAAATACTTCAAATTTACTTTACATTAGACCAATTTGTAATTCCACTAGCACAGTTTTACTTAAATTGACATTTTTGTTATTGTTTATAAAACATAATTTTGTTATTATACCTAAGATATAATTATATATTATTAATAATAACAAACACCCCCCCCAAAAAAAAAAAAAAAACATAAAATTTTTCAAAAGAGGCTCTAAAAAATTTGTCTATATAATTTGTATATTTAGCCTAATCTCACGAGGAAACTAATGGTATTCAATCAACAATCAGGTTTTTTTTCATGCTTTTTTTTAAAGAAAATCATCAAGGTGGGATTTATTAAATGTAATAAAATTGTTTAGTTGTTAAATATTAATTACAATTTAAAATAAATGCTTTCTTATTGTATGGAGTTTTAAATGAAACAGTTACTCCAGTCATTAGAGCTTTTATTACTAATACATTATTATTATTATTATTATTATTATTATTATTATTATTATTATTATCATCATCATTATTATTAATATTATTATCAATAATAATAATAATAATAATAATAATAATTAATATTAGAGGGATTTCGGAAGGATCATGTGATTTTGAAGACAGGAGTAATGAAGCTGAAAGTCCATCAAGAAAATCAATATAATAAATTATTAAATTAAATTATAAACTACATTTAAATAGTTTTTATTCATTCATTTATTTTTTTTTAGGGTTAGTCCCATTATTAATCTGGGGTCGACACAGCGGAATCATCAACTTAGCATATGTTTTACACAGTGGATGCCCTTCTTGAATTTAAATATATATATTTAAATTCTAGTATTTTTTCCTCACAGTTCCTTTTCTGGGAAAAAAATGTTATTTATGAAAATAATTCAGAGATATAAAGTCAGAAATCAGAATTTATATCTTGCATTTTCTTCTTCTTTTTTTGAATGGCCAATGCATATTTTACTTGCAATTCTGACATTTCACAATTCAGACTTAAAAATAAATAAATAAATAAACAAATAAATAAAACATTAAACAGCCTATTTTATGATAAAGAAATGGCATTCTAAGAAAAGTAAAAAAAAGTCAAAGTTTTAAAGAAAGTGTGATTATTGTGATGGAAAAACAATATTAATAAAAAAAATTGCAAATATCTTTTTTTAAATTCTCAGTATAAATAAGCTTCCATAGTCTCATTATTTTCATAAAACAGCCCAGACTGATCTCACGATGAAACGTAAGTATTTTACATTTGTCAGTTTAGTGGCTAATTTATACAAATTCGTACATGTTCAGTCGTAAGAATGTGTACAATTTGAAAAAGGAGGCATGGCACCAAACCCCGCCCCTAAACCAAAACATCATTCAGGGATGAGCAAATTGTACTAAATTGTATGAATAAGATCATACAAATTCGTACGAATTAGCCACTAAATCAAAAAGTTCCGAATTGTAGTGGGATAGTGTTGTTTAGTCAGTTTAATGACTAAATTGTACAAATTCCTACGAGTTTAGTCGTACAAAAATGTATTATTTTAAAAAGGTGTGGCACCGAAACCCCACCTCTAAACCAAACCGCCATTGGGGAATAAGCAAATTGTGCTAAATTGTATGAATAAGATTGTATGAATTCATACGAATCAGCCACTAAATCAAAAAGTTATGAATTGTCGTGAGATCATGTTGAACAGACATTGAAGCAAAAAAAGTAAAGAAACATGTAAAAAAAATGACAATAATGATATAATAAAAACAGCAGGTTCTATATTCGTGTTTTGATGATGGCTACATCACCTACTTCAAACAAGTCAACATTGAGAAAATGCAGATGAGGATGGCCATCGTAATCCTAGGTGGCTTGCAGAGCAAAGACACGACAAGAGAAATCCTCACCCGTGTATGTCCTAAAACCGTCTCGTTTCCTTTATATCAGCTCACCACCATTTGGCATTCTGCATGTTTCCAGTTGAATTCTCTGTACGAAGTGATTTTTGCAGAAACGAGGGCTGTGATTCTCAGGAATAACTCATTTAACAAACACAGCGAAGGCAAAACATCGCTTGTCTGCAGGGGAAGCTGCGTTTCAAGTGTTTAAATCCATTTGGACGACAGATCTTTGGCAACTGTTGTGTTTATCCGTCATTACCATTAGATCTCGCTGTGTTAAAAAAAAAAAAAAAAAAAAAGCATCTGCTGGCAACGTATGAAACACGAATCAATCAAAATGGCTGCAAGTCTTGCTCAAAACTGCCGTACAGACCTCGTACTCGTTTATCAATTGGTTTAGATGTGGCTCGAGTGAAATCAACCCTGTTTGTTTGTGCATTTCCCATGGCTCTACGTTTAGGAGCTCGCAGTTTACGTTTATTTATTGTTTTACTATTCTAGCAGATCAGTCTGGCTGCTGTGGTGCTAATCTAAGTTCTTCCTAAAGTCCGACGCAAATTTCTAATGCAGTGTTTTCCAACCATGTTCCTGGAGGCACATCGATAGTACATATTTCGGATGCGTCCCTTGTATTGTTCGGATGAGTCTCCTCTAATGTTCTGAAGAGTGGATTCAGGATGTGTACTGTTGGCGTGCCTTCAGGGCCAGGGTTGGGAGACACTTCTCTAATGTACATCGCATTCACAGACTGTTTTTACACCCCCAAACCAAAACGCATCTCGACGAAAATCCTGAAGATCGTCAGAAATGAACTCGATGTGCTATAAATGATACTCTAAGAAAACTACATCCATTCAAATCTGTCCGTAGTTTCGTTTATTGCCATGCTCAACAAAAAAGCCTCTTTTCCCACATATACGAGAAACACGTGTTGTCGTTTTGATGATTGAGGGGTGGGGTGTCCATCGCCGTTTGTAAACATCAGACTCGGGCGCGGATGGTATGGTTTTGGCAGACGTGGCTCGCTCTCTCACAGGAAGGACACCGACCGGCCTCCCTCTCGCAATGGCATGGTGGGATACATTGGTTTGAGGATGTGGTCACTACCTGGCTTGCTGCTACTGCCGCCGTTCTGACTGGCCATTTGGTGTCGTATGTCTCTGCGGTTGATGGTGAATGCCGTGATCATCTCGGAGCCATAGTCCCTGCTCTCCGGCACGGCGCCGGGGACGTGCCTCAGGTGCCCATCGCCCAGGCAAGTCATGGAAACACGGGCGTCATCGCGGTGCTGCAGCTCATGCTGTCCTTTCCGGGCAGGCGACGGTCGCTGAAGGAGTGCATGTTGATCACTGCGTCCGTCTTCAGCATGGCTGGCGGCGGCCGGTGGGGCTTGTGCTTCACCCGTCTCTCGCACGTGAACGACAGTTTGATCTCTTCCATCACCGCACTGCAGAAAGACCTCTTGATGGAAAAAAAGACACATGGTGGGGGGAGGAGAAAGAGGAAAGAGGAAGTAAGTACATTCACGCTCAGCCTACATGTTTTTGACAAAAATGTACTTCAACATACGCTCATGTAATGCCGAGTTCAGACTGCATGACTTTCAAAGTAGTCGTGTCACAGATGTTTTCACACTGCATGACTATCTGGGCTTGTGTTTCGTCGCTGCTTTGTTTACACTGCAATATGGATCGGCGACAGGGACTTTCACATTGCATGACTTTACTATAGGAAGAATCGCCGAGAACTTCATCCAAACTACGTCTCACAGACAAAAACACGTGGAATATCTTTTGCTATTAACTACATAATGAGAAAGAAGCCTTTAATGGGGTAGAACATGTACATATTTGCTCACCTGGGTTTAAAGGGAATTAGCCATTTCTCCTCAACGTTGATAATAAACTAATTTATTTCTGTATGAAACGTCAAACAGACACGGTTGCTCCTGAGTCCTGTCTAGGGTTGTAACGGTATGAATTTTTTACGGTATGATAATCGTCTAAAACAATACCACGGTTTGACGGTTTCGCGGTATACGGTATGTTACGAATGTTACAAAATAATAGAACAGTGAAGCAAATTTGACTTTTTCCAAATAATATATTTTTAGTTACTATAAACAACACCACTTACAATGAACAAATAAAAAATAATAAAATAATAAATAATGTGTCAAAGTCCAAATAAAGTCCAAATAAACATGGTGCAAATCCTCAGTAAAAAAATAGATATAAATATTTACTATACTATAAAAAGTTACATAACGAAACTAGATTCAATATGGAACATCCTTAGGTTTTATGTGCCAGCATGGATATGGTTGTCTATGGATATGGATTTGGATTTGGTTGTCTGCAATGCAGACAAACAGCCGCACCTTCATTTGCGTCTTTTGAAAACAGCAAGAGCAGCAGTTCGTCTTCGCTGTGTCACTGTTTTGTCATGTTTTTGTGCTGTTATGCATGCAAAAGTACTTAGTATGAGAATTATTTCATGCAAAACTTTTTTTTTGCGTTTTATTTAGCCGCGCATAAATGTATGCCTATCTCTCATTCCATGTTGTTCAAAAAGCTCATTGTTGGTTCACAAACAAAAGTGAAACCTATGCTTATTGGTTGTGATATAGCGAGTTTGAACCAATCTGGGCATGGAGGAGGGACAATGCATCAATGTATCATGTCTGATTTGTCCGGAGACACAGTGACGAGCGTTTCTTTGTCAAATCAGCGTTGTCAAATTTTGATGACGTAACCGCACTGATTCCGGAGCCTAAATCGGGGCTAAAATCACGCAGTCTGAACTAGGCTTAACGCTTCCAGTGTTAAGTTTTGTTTACTTCCCTGTTTTTAGTTGTCACGCCCTGTCAGTTGAGCTTTCGATTATTAATTACGTAAGTTATTTAGCCTCCACTCCCTCGTCATATTTTTTAACTTCAGTGTTTGCACTACATATTTTTGTTTGGTTCTGTCATGTTACATTACTTCTATGATGTCTGATGCTGCGTTAACACCAGATGAGGATGAAGCATAAAGCACAAGTGATTTACATTAAGTCAATGCAAAGATGTACGGCAGAGAGAGCTTAACGTGCTGCAATTTAAGAAAGCACATGCAATTACAAAAAACCCCAGCAAATACAGAAAACAATTTCCTCAATTTGACAGCACACGTGTTGCAAATTCTCACATTACAAACAACTTCTGAGACACGCAGCAATTGGTCAAGACAAACAACTTAAGAAACTGGCTGCAACTGGAACTGGAACCCACATGGAGCCAAGATTCTCACATAATCAGTCAAGTTTGGTGAAGGAAAAATCATGGTTTGGTGTTACATTCAGTATGGGGGAGTGCAAGAGATCTGCAGACTGGATGCCAACATCAACAGCCTGAGGTATCAAGACATTTGTGCTGCCCGTTACATTACAAACCACAGGAGAGGGTGAATTCTCCAGCAGGATAGCGCTCCTCATACTTCAGCCTCCACATCAAAACTCCTGAAAGCAAAGAAGGTCAAGGTGCTCCAGGATTGGCCAGCCCAGTCACCAGACATGAACACTATTAAGCATGTGTGAGGTAAGATGAAGAAGGAGGCATTGACGATGAATTCAAAGAGTCTTGATGAGCTCTGGGAGTCCTGGACCGCTTTCTTTACTATTCCAGATGACTTTATTAATCAGTGGTTTGAGTCATTGCAGAGATGTATGGATGCAGTCCTCCAAACTCATGATGGAGTCAGACACAATATTCATTCAGTTTCCACTGCACCATGGCTTTATATTATATACTGGACATTATTTCTGTCTGAGTAAAGTCAGACCTTACTGTCCTAATTAAATAATTAAAAATCAAGGCATGATCATGTTTTATTTTGGTAGAATAAGCGTAATCTAAAGGCCTTTGCCTTACATTTAAGCCACTTTTGATTCATTAGTAGCCAAGTTATTATTTGTTGTTCCTAAAACTTGGATAGGTGACAAGACTTTTGTCAGGTAGTGTATTTTCTATTTAATTATTTATCTATTTAAATAATTTAATTATTTGAAATTGTATACAAATGTGGTGAAAAGTCACTTTTTTAAATACAACAAACCTTAAAGCATATCTGCTGCTATTTGTAAATCCAAATGTAGGAATGATATATACTGAAAGCTATATTAAAACTAAAAAGAGTGGTCTGTTTTCAGGACTAGGGGCATTTTTTTGATACAGTGCTTTCGTTTCAAATGTGTTCTTTAACGCCCTTTAAAACAGTTGACCAGAACAGCATCATTCTCTCTGTTACCTTCTACGTCTTCGAATGTATGTTTTCCTTTCCTTCCTTTCTGACAAGCGAAATGATGTTGAAGCCATTTCTAAAACAAAGTACCCCAAAACAGCCCTTTAAATAACTTCCATCATGCGGAGAAAAATAACACAATTTTCCAGTTCAGTAGGGAATATAATTCATTGTGAGGTGTGATGTGTGATAAAAATATTCTCATTTTTTGAGGATGCTTTGGCACGATCAAAGCCGTTTAAATGTCAACCCCCAGCACTGGTATCTTATCTGTGAAATGTGTCTACATAAAAAAGGAAGTGATTTGCGATTTGCTTGCTATGCTTTTTGATGTTAGATTGCTTATTCATCTCTTTACTCAAATAGTGGATCAACTCTGTGATGTTATCAGGTGTGAATTACCTCAGCTTTAGTCTGCATGCAAAATTTCTTAGCTTATAGGACGTCTAAAGCCCAATTACAGTTCTATTTAGTACCCATAAAACTACACCTACTCTTGAAACAGAGTGTGAAAAGGTAGGGATAGATATTCCTGTAAGAAATGGGACACCAATACTACACTACCTGACAAAAGTCTTGTACATCCAATATGGGGGTGTGTGAGAGATCTGCAGAGTGGATGCAACATCAACAGCCTGAGGTATCAAGACATTTGAGCTGCCCATTACATTACAAACCACAGGAGAGGGACAATTCTCCAGCAGGATAGCGCTCCTGCTCATACTTCAGCCTCCACATCAAAGCTCCTGAAAGCAAAGAGGGTCAAGATGCTCCTGGATTGGCCAGCCCAGTCACCAGACATGAACATTATTGAGCATGTCTGGGGTTAGATAAAGGAGGAGACATTGAAGATGAATCCAAAGAATCTTGATGAACTCTGGGAGTCCTGCAAGAACGCCTTCTGTCATTCCAGATGTGTCACGGTTGCAGGTTTGTGCGCTTCTCCGCAGTGTCTGTTTGATCACGTGAGTTTGTTTTGTTTTTGTTGTCCATGTGTATTTGTTTTGGTGACCCATGACGGCACTCAGCTGGTTTGATTTGCTCGCCAGCTGAGGCTCATTATCGTGCCATTATATAGGCAACATTTTCTATGTTTCCTTGTCAGTTCGTTATGTGTGCTTACGTGTGTGTTTGTATGTGCTCAGGATCGTGAGGAGAGACCCCTGGACCCTATTCTCCTGTCTGATCCCTGCCCTATTTTCTCCTGATCCTGGCACCAAACTCATTTCTTGTATTTATTTTGACTGTGTCAAATAAATCCTTCACTTGCACTTGGATCCCTTTTGAGTATTATTTGACTGTGACAAGATGACTTTATTAATAAGTGATTTGAGTCATTGCAGAGATGTGTGGATGCAGTCCTCCAAGCTCAAGGGAGCAAAAGATTAGTTCATTTTTCGAGTTCTCAATCGAGTTTGAGTCGTTCGTTCTTCACATGAGAGACAGAAGCCAGTCATATACATCTCGAGTCCTCGCTTTTGAGTCATTTCTTTACAGTACTGTCACATGATGAACCAACGACTCAAAAACCCCAAGACTCGAAAGGTGAACTAATCTCAGACTGTAAGCAATAGTTAAGCCTTTTATTTATTTGTTTTACCATTCATTTAATTTTTTATTGGTTTTAAAAACAGTTAAGAATAGTATGCAGACACTTAGAACATTAGAAACAAAAACGGAGATGTAGTCACAATCTGCATAATACATTTTAAAGGAGAGAGAAAGAAGAGAAAAAAATTAAACATATAAATGAAAGTAAATAGCCATTTTTATTTAGTATTTTTTAAACCTTTGTTAGAATTTATTAGTTAACGAACGACTCAAATTTGAAGACATGCCAGAGGAGGTGAGCAGAGCTAATCATAGATAAAACACCAGGTAAACCATGAAGGACTATTTTCTCATTCTTAGTAGCGTTGCACCGTAGTGTTCTAGTTATGACTTGTATTAAGTAGTGTGATCAACATTTGGGCTAGTTGTAGATGTGTTTGGAAGCATCTTGTAACACTTCAGTGTTATTTTGGCACATTAAATGAAAAAACTCAAAAAAAGATTTGTTCATCTCGACGGTCCAAGTCAGTAAAATGATCTGAACTTTCCATCACTATGCGGGGGCATGAATGACATGTTCCTGAATAAAAGTGAAACTGAAACTGTAGTTAAAGTAAAAAAATAAAAAATCAAATCAAATGCCCGAAATTACATGAAACTCCAGAGGAAACGTGAATAGCAATGACGATAATCGAATTATTTGCTATAACATGTAAAATGGGTTCATGGAAGTAACTTTCAAAAGTAACTCATATAAGTGAAGTTTATGTATAAACTAATTTCCAGAGGATCACGTGCTTATGATTGCTAGCGGCTGGATTCGCATTATCCAATTCACTATGCTCCAATCAGATGACTCCTAAACTACTATTAATACCCTGGGTTTCATTCCAGTGCTATCTTCGTTTTGAAGAATCCCCCCTTCCACCCCTGCTCCTCCTCCTTTCCTAGATGTGTGACACGGTGGCCTACAGGAGTAGAACTGTTGCCTCACAGCAAGAATGTCTCTGTTCCAGGTGTTCCAGGCTTTACCAAACCAGCAGACATTTCTGTGTGGAGTTTGCACTTTCTCCCCGTTTTCACATGGGTTTCCCCCGAGTTCCCCGGTTTCCTCCCACCATCCAAAAACATGCAAATTAAGTAAATTGACTAATCCAAATCGGCACCATAGACATGCTTCTAGTATGTAGTTATCTTTATCATTGGTTACTACTGCAGGGGAGTTCTTGAGACCTACCTGAGCTCAAACTCCCCTCCCGCCTTGCAACAGGAGGGAACCCTGGGCTCGAGGATCTCATGAGCTCAGGGCTCTCTCCCGGGACAGCATGCCAAACAAGCTTTTATAATCAATCATCAGCTAAGTGTGAACTCTTGAAACACCTTAATCATATTAATGTCTTATTCAGATTAAAGCACATAATTACTGATGCCCATGTAAACATAGTCAGTGTTTACATGCTAGACTCTTAATCAGAGTATTGTCTTAATCGTATTAAAATCGGAGTAATAGTATCTATGTAGACTCACTCAGGTTTATTGGTAATCAACACACCCCCTAATAATTGTTATTTTAATAGTCATCCGTGTAATTTCACCCTCCAATCAAGCTCACCTGTTCACGCTCCGCAGTTTTCCTCAGTTTGTAGATGAACTCTCCGATAGCCACAAACACAGACAGCACCAGGCCAGACGCCAGCACAATGAAGATGCCGCCCAGGTTCTGGATGCCCATGGGCCCCGTCTCGTAGCGCTCGTCCTCTAGACAGCTGCTGCCGCTCCACCACTTCTCCTTCAGCATGTGCAGACGGCCGTCTTCCAGAATACCCAGGATAGCAATGGTGATTTTATCCCTGTAGGGCGAGCCTGGAAAACATTCATTAAAAGATGAGAATCTTTCAATGCAATGTCAAGCACTGAAAAAGACTGTAATTAAACAAGAGCGAGGGCTGAGATGTTCTTCTGACTAAGTTTATTAGTCAAATTATCATTTCATCTAACTAATAAAGTTGATAAAACACATGTGGAATTTGTAAAAAAATAAATAAAAAATCTCTGAATTTATATTAAATGTATTGGTGGAGCCATTAGGACTCTTTTGTGAACTCTTTTTGTGGTCATTTTGCAGTTGCGTATTTGATATTTGAAACGAACAGTTTTCGTATTTTGTGATTCACAAGTATATTCTGTTTATTTACGGTTGTGAAATGCATTATGGGATGTTGATCTCTGCTCTGTTGACTTTTGATGTTGAAAAATCAACCCTACAGTTTAACAAAGTGACTTTTATTGACGTTTTAGTAGTTTGAAAGAACGTATAAGGAATAATATATAGAGAAATAAGTTCGAAATTAACTGAAAATGTACTGCAGTTTATTATGTTTTTGTAATGTAACATACAACACCAACCCATGTAAATAAAAGTCAACTTTTTTAACTTTTAAAGGTTAAGGGCCCTATCATACATCTGGCGCAATACCAGTTGTGCCACTTTGTGTACTTATGGGTGTGCTGGTCTATAAAGGAGGTGTGTTAAGGCGCATTATTGGTGCGTTAGAAACTAAAATAAACACTGCCTCCATGCCTTCAGTGGAGTGTTTCCGCCGTTTCCTTACTTCACGAAAGTAAAGGATTAAAGTAAAGAGTACAAGTAAAGTAAAGAGAAAGTAAAGAGGTTGAATGGAGGAGGCTCGTTCTTTATCCTTGCGCTGCAGATGGTCGGTTTAACTGTTTTCTCACTATTGAAGCGTTAATTTTTTCTACATACAAAGTCCATCTTGTAAATAGCAAATGCACCATGGTGTGATGCAACGGACTCTTAAAGGGAATGGGGGATGATTGGTCTAATTTATCTTTTGCTCAAAACACACCCAGAACTCATTAAGAGAATAAGCACAACCTTTTTAGACCATGCACAGAACATATTTCTCTGTCCTTAAAAAAGCTAAAGTAGACGCAGACACAACCCTAATGCTTTTGCGCCATACGCTTTAGAGTTTGCGCTTACGGTAGATTGTTAAAATAGAAGTTCCAACTTCCAACTTCCTAAAAGTTGTTGGAAGACAGATCAATGTTTCATAATGTAATTTGAAAGCATAAATAATTGGGGAAAAATAAAATAAAAATTTGAATCACAAAAAATGTAAATGTATTTTTTAAGAGTCTGGGGCCTGAAATTCCATAGATCATAATCAAATATTTCTGTTGTCAATTTAAAATGATCGCTTGAACATTCTGACATTGAAGCAAATTTTAAAGAGCCCCTATTTTGGGTTTTTATAAATGCTGTTTTTAAAATGATGTTTTTTGCTTGCGTTTTCCGTCAACATTTAACGCCTCGTGACTCAATAAAGGGCGTCAATGTGATTGTGCACACCAACGCGCAAAATGCCAGACGCAAAAGCATCATTTAAAAAAAAAAAAAAAAAACTCCTCATGCTCATTTTTTTGTTTTGACGCGTTCCATCAAAACCTTCTCCACCATTCAGATTGCCACTTTAGTTCACATTAGTTACAGTAAACATCGCTTGGAGCCGCTCAAGCGCAAAACTGTCAATGCGAGCGCACATTGAAGAAGAAGCCCAGAGGCAATATGAACGTGGAGCTGCTTATTGCTCTGATGGACAATAATCATTTCCTCATCGCTAGAGCTGGAGATGCTGTTTGAACCATCCATGCCTGTTCGAGTCACCAGTAACTTTAACAACAAGTGTGTGAACTTCCTCTCTTCCTCTAAAGTTGGTGTTATTTTCCAGACCCACAGATGAGGCTGTGAAGAGTCAGTGATTGAAGTTTATTTTTGCAAAAATACCTCAGCATTATAGCCCCAGCCTTGTGCTGAGTTCCTGTCATTTTTCTGCCGAGTGCTTTAGCAATCTACACGCATACAACAGGGGATTCATCTGCCATTTGTTAAAGACAGGATCAGAAAAAACTTATGAGACTATGTCAGAGCTTGACAGAAACTTTGTCAGTTCCTCCATTTCTCAAGTGTAAGTAACTTAAGTATGATTAAAATGGTTGCCTCCATATTTTCCCTAGCTTGCAAATTATGTATTTATTTGTGTTTTGTTACTTCTAAGAGCTCCACGCTGCTTGTACTGTATCTGGTTAACTCTTTATATTCTTATTAGCATCTAAAACCACATTAAAAACGTGATGCGTGCCGCTTTGTTTACCGATTTAAATGCTCTTGTGAGCTCGCCATTTACTGCCGTTTGTCATTGCTATGTCCACCATCAGCTGTTCCTAAAATGAGTCCTTAAGCCTGCAAACTACACAGCTTATAAGTTTTATGAATTCACCAAAGAGGTCAGCGTGTGACATTTATATCATCTGCTGGTCGAATGTCATCGTGCTATGCATATTCACAGGTCGGAGTTCATTTAAATTGAATTTTGATTCACATGCATATGAATGAGAGAGAATGGAGATTGAAGCTATACTCTGTGCACAGATTCACTTAACACTAAAGGCAGGAAAATAGTTAATTACAACAAACTTGAGTGCATGTAATTAGTCTTGGCACTACATTCATTCATTTTCTTTACGGCTTAGTCCCTTAATTAATCAGGGGTCGCCACAGTGGAATGAACCGCCAACTTATCCAGCATATGTTTTACATAGCAGATGCCTTTCCAGCTCCCATTCACATACATACACTACGGACAATTTAGCTTACCCAATTCCAACTGACCCAACTTTAAAACGGAAATCAATATTTTAAAAACGGAAATCAAAAAACCTCTCATATTTCGTTATTCAATATCTTTATTTTGAAATGAAAATCCAATGACCAAAAGATGCACTGACCCTAAACCTAGTCCTTATTGGGGGTCAGCAAATCGTACTAAAACGTGTAAATGAGATCATCCAAGTTAGTCACTAAATCAAAAAGTTACATTTAAAAGTTGTATTTAAACTGTCGGTTTTACCTTTGGGGGTGCCGATGCCATAACCTTTACTATCGATGATGCCGCCGACCTGCGTGAGATTGCAATTCCTGCGCGTCACATACTCGATGGTTGTTGATTCCATTAGCAGGGCGTAGTCTGATTTCAACACTCTCTGAATCCCGTCTTCAATGGACTTGACAAACGATGTGCTCTGTCTGCTGCTCATAAAAGCCCACATCTTCTCAAACGTAGACACTCGGGATTTCTGAAAGAGAAAATCATCTTTTCTGTTAATCTGAAAGTGTTATTTTGCATGTTTTTGGACACCACTTTGTCGCCGGGTAACTGCAATATACAGACTCTGAAGGATTTTAAAGGAAAGCTAAAAGCTATCAATAGCAACGCAGGCTCGTCAGAGGAATGTGCCTGTGGCGACTTTTCAGCAAAAGTGAAATGATGCTGCTTCTTGCATTTGCATGACACTGTCAAAATTGAAATCTCTAGTTTGTGGTGCTAAAAATGCACTTAGTGTTTATCCAAAACAGATGCATTGGATTCTGGGCAACATATCATTATGCTGGTTGTGGTACATGCTAAAATAAAAAAAAAATAAAAGATGAGTAGCACTAATTTTCTGTTGCATTTACAAATGTTGTACCACTTTCACTAAACTCTACCTAAATCCTACTGAAAGTGTTAGCAAACTCAATGTGGGGTCGAATTGATTTTCTGAAGCAACCATCACATTTTAACTTGCTTCTATGAGGTTTTTTAGTTTTTTTGTTTATCATATCATAACTTCTTTTTTTTTGTCCCATATATGCTACTAAACAACTTTACTATATCAGAAATGCTAAACATACAAAGCTTGTTTGTGATGACATCAACTTAAAATGCACTAGTTAAGAAGCCATTGTTACATTAATGAAGCCATTAGAAGCCATTGTACAGTTTTTTAAGTTATTTAAACTAATTAAACAGTTTTTTAAGTTAAGTTATATACACATATATATTTATATATATATATATATATATATATATATATATATATATATATATATATATATATATATATATGTGTGTGTGTGTGTGTGTGTGTGTGTGTGTGCATGTTTGGGAGGAGGGGGGGGCCAATGGATAAGTTGTGTCAAAAGGGAGGCCCACTGTCTTAGACTTTGAAAACCCCTGGCCTAGTAAGAGCTTGATTAGCTAGGCCAGCTGTGTCTGATTAGAGTTGTAACTAAACTTTGCAGGACCGAGTCTGGACATCCCTGCTCTAAACCAGTGTTTCTCAACCACAATCCTGGAGGACCACCAACACTGCATTTAATGTCTCCTTTGTCTGTCACACCCATTA